GTCGTTTATAGAACCTTTTCCTGATATGCTAATTTTTTGAGATAGGGATTTTTGGCTTTTCTTTCTTTACTTTTTTGCCAAAATCATCAATATTAAAACAATAAAAGGCTTGAACTACTTCAGTTGGTGTGCAATGAATCTAAAATATATGAAAGTTTAATCTTTATCAGTACATTACAGAAAATAATGAACTTTATCACAGCATGCTAATTTTTTGAGAAGGACCTGTGTGTGTATAAACTGTATATACTGTATATTCCCTGATTTTAGGCATTAGTAGTTTAGTTCTCAGAGTCTGAGTCAATGAGAACGTTGCGGTCTTCTTCTCTTCTTCTCCTGGTGAAGTGACGAACAATCACAGCCAGCAAAACCAGCGATGCGATGAAGCCGACGCCAAAGACCACCGTGGTGATGTTGGATGTGAAGACCTTGAATCCCCACGTTCCTCCTGATCTGGTCTCTAGAAGAATTGGTAACATCAGAACAGTTAGTTTTTACACAAACATTGGGACAATGAACCAAATCATCCAGATTTTAACCTGCATCACTCTTCGTCTTGATGACGACGTTGTTTTCCTTGGTTTTGGCTGCGCTGGGATCAGCGAGTCCAACAAACTGCAGAGGACCCTGGGTGATGTAGTGTCCGGTTGTCTCCTTGCTCAGCCCTCGTCTGCGTCTGCGGGACGGGGTGTTCAAACACCCCTGAGCGCATCTAGAGAAGGGACTTCCAGGTTCACACAGGATGACAGAACATGTGATGTACACCTGGAAGGAGGGGAGTTTGGGTTGTTCAAAGACTTTAATTTAATTGACTTATGTCTTTTGTTTTAGCTTTGATATTCAAACTTCATCCTAATTCTGGTTCAGTTGGCTTCTTCCTGTTAAAACAGAGTTGTTTCTCTCCACTATCACCCAAGCCTGTGCTTGTACAGGAAATGAGCAGGGTGGTAGTTCCAGAAGTTTTAACAGGAGATCTCATGCCTCCTGTTCTGTAGTTCTGTATTTTGGACTAAGCTTCTGATCCTTGAGGTTTCCTCAGTCTTACCTGGTAACGAGAGAACTGACTACCTCGCAAAATCTGGCATTCAAGCTCACTTTAAAGGACCAGAGCCTGTTGTAGGTACCTCAACAACAGTCTGTAGGACTGCCCTACAGGCCTAGATTAGACATCAATACTCAATCTGCTGGATGGAGCTGACGGACTGTAGACAGGCATGGGAACTGATTAACGGCCCAAATCTAAGGTTTGGGAAAGCTCTCATCTCCCTGWCAAGGAAAACTCTAAGTACACTGGTTGGAGTCGTAAATGGGCACAATCTGCTCAACCACCACAAAATGGTGATGGGACTCCATGACAATGGCCTGTGTGATGCCTGTGGCATTGAATTAGAGACCTCTTTGCACTACTTAGGCCACTGCCTGGCTCTGAGTAGTCAAAGGAAATAATTCTGGAGGACCCCTTTATGGATCCTGAGATGCTCAGAACACTGAGTGTTTCTAACCTTGTATCCTTCATCAGAGAGGGACGAGATGGTTCGAATAAAGACCAGTGACTTTATGGGGAGAGCAATGGACCAACTTATGAGTCCCCCACTCATATGGGTTCCTTATACATCCCCACTGACCATACCATACCATACCATACCATACCATACCATACCATACCATACCACACCACACCACACCATACCTGGTCATAGTCTCCATTGAATTTGAAGGCTTGAATTTCAAATTTGAATGAAGTCTGGTCTGATGAGTGGGTTTTCATCGTCTCATCTTTCACACATCTGGAACACAGTGAGTCAAACAAAATGACAAACGAGTTCTCAGAACATTTGTAAGAAGTCTCTCTGTGAGTTCAGCACTAACCCGTTCTGGATGAATTCATACGACAGAGGGTTCTCAGGGTTGTCGTCAGGAGTTCCTTTACACGACTCAACAAACAGAGTCACGTTTGGGAGGTCCGAGTTGGCTTCAATGCCCATATAAATCATTTCCAGCAGGTTGACCTGCACCGGATAGGCATCGGCCTCCACTTTCTTTACAAAGCTGCTGTCATTGAATATTTCAAAAGAGTAGCCAAAACTGCCAAAGCTGGACTCGGTGAAGATGTAGTCCGACTGGTGGAGGTTGTAGTAGCTGGAGATGCTGATGGTTTTGGGAAACTCACAGGAGAAGTCGATCTGAACCTTCCTCCTTCGGACGATGATCTCATCTGGACGCTCAAAGGAGTAGATCTCATTCCTGAAGGCAATGTAATCGCCTCGGTCCTACGTTTGAGAAAATAATAGTGAAAAACATACGTGTCTGAGAGGAAATGTTCCATTTAAACGTGCTTTAATACCTGGAGTTCTGTGCCGCAGGTGCTGAAGGAGATGGTGCCCATGATGTGTGTGCCGTTAGAGGTGAGCGAACAGGTGGGGTCTTTCAGTTTGAGGAAGTTTTCATCAATGTCGGGCATGGAAGACTTCTCCAGGATCACCGTCATCTTGTTTGGTGAGCACTGAACATGAGCCTTCCCTGTAAATCACAGTTATTAACCCTAAATTGATGCRCACAGTACAGGAACTAAAATATAAAACATTCACAATTAATCTAGAAAGCACTTTAAATAAAACCCTTTGCTGTGCTGTACGAAAACCCACATAAAACATACAAATTTAAAACAAAAATAAAAACTATAAAATCAATGGAAAGAAAAAAGTAAGAAGAAGAACTAAAAAAAAAACATCTCAAGCTGAGTTAAAAGCMAAAGAGGATTTAAAAACTGTAGGTGAGTTGATGATAAAACTGTTTGGTTAAAAGAATCACACTCACTCAGTTAACTTATCTTCTAATTGCTACGTTGGTATAGAGTACGTGTCTTGCTGAAGTGGGAGTGTCAGAAAGGATAGGAGRTTCTTAAACAGACAGGCCAATTTCAAGGCCTTTACATAAACCATGGTGCAAAATCAGTTTGGTTTTTTTGCAGCCTGCAAGAGCTTCAAAAATATAATAATACCTTTAAAATAAGCTGCTTTAAAGCCAGCATYGAGCACAAACTACATCTCCCATAATGCATGTTGATTTTAATGGCCTCCCACCACTAGGTGGAGCTGCACAGGGTTCAGAAGTAGCTGTGTAAAATTTTTCATTTCACTGCATTTTGCAGACTACTTGTGCTGCAGCCCAGTTGTACTGGGAAGTGGGAATTTCCCACTTAGAAGTTGTAGAYTTAAACTGGAACTCCCCTCCAGTGGGAATTCCCTGTTGGAAAGTGGGAAAGTTCAGAATTCAAGACATCCCAGTGAGTAAAACTCTCTTATATTTACTTTCAATAGTATTTCTGTTCTATTTATTCCACATTTAGTCAGTCACACATGCAGTAGTTTTCAGTGTTTAYAAGATGTGTTAAAACACTGTTTCTATKCAGGAAATACCAGGTAGAGCTCAGTTAGTGTTTGTTAGCGGTGCTCAGCTGTAGCAATGAGACGAGGAACATGACGTTATGTGTTTAGTCAGAATGAACCATGGCCCTGTGAGGATGACGCTCACGTGGCTCTCAGTGAAAATGAGTTTGACCCGCCTGGTTTAGAGCTCAGGGTTGCCAGGTCTGCCTACTTTTGCTCCAAACTAAAATCCAAGTCTTTGTTGTGAAAGTTTTACCAACGCGATTTAAAACAGAATTAATTTATGTTTGTAGTTTTATCRTACTGGACTAATGGTTTGAAAATGTGCTGAAGTGGGAGTGTCAGAAATGGTAGGAGGTTCTTAAAGAGACAGAGGC